CTTTCTTAGTTCATCATGTGCTGGTGTTAATGCTCATTTATGGTTTACTATTTTTCATTTTTCTTGGTAAATTTCATAGGTAATTCTTTCTTTGTCTAAATAGGTTTGCAAAGACTTGGTCTCTGTTAATTTAAAAATATAAGGCGTAATCTTTTCGCCCTGTTCTTTCTTTAGAATGCTTCCAATGGTACTGTAATGCTTTTGTTCCATAGTGGATTTAATGTAAATTAGTTTCATATTAATATTTTTATATACAGAGATAATCCTATATTAATATATATTACTCCTGTGTGAGCATTAAAATTAACAAGGCAAAACATCATCAGTCATACTGGTCAACCTTACAGCCACATCATAATCAGCCTCTCATTTATAGAATGTTCACTTTGTCTGGTTTGTTGCAGTATGCCCCATATAATGCATTTCCCAAATATTTTCCCCCATATAGTAATATCAATTGCCTGGAAAGGGAGTATTACTGTAGATGAAGCCATGTCGCTCCCCCAGCTTTGATCACCCTATTTTAATCTTTACAGTCTACATCGTTTATATTGTTGCATCATATTACACAACAAATCATGCCATTTCTATATTTGAATATTTGTCAATATGTTCTTCATTTGGTTACATCACAAAAATCAGGCCATACATCAGGTCATATATCAGGCCATAATAATCAATCACAATAAATCAGTGATTACAAGGTAGAATGAACATTTTAATATCAAAACACTTGACTTGCCTTTTTTAAATTCATCAGTTTTATCTTAACAACAATGTTCCTATCTTCTGGAACGAATTTGTTTTTAATGTAAGCCTGAATTATTGGATTGCATTATTATTTATTTTAGTTCTGTCTGCGGTACTAGTAATATTAATCATTCACCGTCAGTTGTAACAAATGATCTTAATGATACGATTATACCTAATAATAACTACGATAACAATATAAAGGTGATAAAATTCGTCACTTATCATAATACATTTATCATTCTGATACGTGTAAAAATATACACGGGTATAAACACGATTGTCTGATCTTCTTTATAATCATCCTTTCTATAATAATAAGCACATCACATAAAAACAGCCATTGAGTTTCTAAACAAACTTCTACAGGTGAAACTTGTTTAAACTAGCGGGCCTGGTTTGCTGATTTTTTGGTCGGTTTAGCCAAAGACCGGTTCAGAAAATTGTTTAACTAGAGAAAGTTTCTAATTAATGAAAATTTGGTGTAGTCGTAAGGCGACCGCTCAATCAGCGCCGGTTTAAACAGATTCCACCTGTTCAGTATATAATCACAACTTTTTTTATTTGTAAGCACATGCGCATTTTCAACAAACGTTTCATTGTTCTTGACAGTGCAACTATAGTAACAAGGTCAACTGTAACCGCAATAAAACCGTGATAAGCCATCCCTATAATAGAGTTATTAAGAAAAAATTTCACGTCACGCCAACAATTACTGGGGAGCGATTGATTATCAGCACTGTGAATTCAAACAGAGTGAGACTCTTAATTGTAGTTAAATAATGTGATCTTTAGACTACGCTTTGCACACTTATAATCTCAATATCATGTCGTGTACACTAACTCTAGCTATGTGTCGGTTTCTTACTGCTGGATTAGTTCAGCAATTTACTGGTTTGGGACTGAATCAATCACAATCAAACGAGTTTGTACTATTAAACGAATAACGATTGTATATGCCCACCGAAATAACCGCTGGACAGGTTAGCGATTAAATCTTCTCGATGTAGAGATTAGCGGATACCAATAAATTTAATAACTAATAATGTATCCCAGTGTATAATAATAAAGAACTGCTCGTTCCTTTACATCAATAAAGGGAATCGAATAACACTGCGAACCACAAATCTTATAACCTCGACTAATAAACAAACTCTAATTCGGTTCGTTAATTCGCTGTTTTATTATGACAAGCTTCTCTGATATAATTCAAATTATGAGAAATAATTTATTGTAGGATAATTTGAAGATTACTGGCATTTGACTCTTATTTGTGGTACATTTCAAATAGATGCGCAGCGTCACGTCACATGAGACAAAAAAATTTAAGACTGATCAAACTTCCCAAACTGCTGCTTTTACGTTAATTACAATGACGGACAAACTAACTAGAATCGCCATTGTCAGTTCCGACAAATGCAAGCCGAAAAAATGTAGACAAGAATGCAAGAAATCTTGTCCGGTTGTAAGAATGGGTACGAAGTTGTTTATATTTGGATCATACAATGTAGCAAACAATAGTAATATCCAAAATATATGTTCCACGGCAAACTGCGCTCTTGATTGTCCGAAAAGATGTGTGAGAGAGTATTTTCGCTTTGATAAAACAGACTTAATATGGCGAATGCATTATCTCAAGAATTGTCAATCAGACGCATAGCCTCTCCTTATTACCTTTGTTGATCCATCTTGTTTTCTTCCCGAGATTGTTCATTAGAATTAATTATTTCTTATTTATTTAGGCAAGCTTTGCATTGAAGTAATGCCAGACAGCAAAATAGCATTTATATCCGAAGAACTTTGCATCGGTTGCGGTATATGTCCAAAGAAGTGTCCATTCGGAGCGATCACCATTATTAATCTCCCCACTAATCTCGAGAAGGAAGTAAGCCACCGTTATTCTGCCAATTCATTTAAACTACATCGTTTGCCCATTCCACGACCGGGGCAAGTGCTAGGTTTGGTCGGTACAAATGGTATAGGGAAGAGTACGGCCTTGAAGATTTTGGCTGGTGTACTCAAGCCCAATTTAGGCCGTTTTGAGGTAGGAAAAAAGCATCACTCTAGCGATGTGATTTCCAGAATATCGATCAGTGCGTGAGAGCTCAGAACTTGGTTAAAGAAGCAATGAATAACACTAAGAATTAACACGTCATAATCTAGGAACCACCAGACTGGCAGGATATTTTAAAGTATTTCCGTGGTTCGGAATTACAGAATTACTTTACTAAAATTCTTGAAGATAATCTCAAAGTATGTTATAGTATTTTTGCCCAGTCGTTAATACGCGTACGAGTCTTCATTCTCCTTTCCCCCTCGTTTTTACTCAGCCAATTATTAAACCACAATATGTGGACAGTATACCGAAAGTAGCCAGAGGAACTGTGACCGGTTTGATTACTGCTAAATCCGAAAAGAACAATGCAGATGAAATTATTGCCAACTTAGATTTAAATGAAGTCTTAAACCGTCAAATAGAAGAACTGTCTGGGGGAGAATTACAGCGATTTGCTATCGCAATTTCATGTATACAAAATGCAGATATGTAAGTCGTAAGACGGGTAATTGTGCCATTTATTTCCTGATCGCACATGTTTGCTAACGTTTGTTTACTTTTAGTTACATGTTTGATGAACCCTCATCTTATTTAGATGTGAAACAACGTCTGAGTGCAGCTCGTACAATAAGATCTCTTTTGAAGCCAGAATGGTAAGAATCAGTCTTACTCTTTCAATTTAACGAGAGCAAATATTCACCCTCATTTGATAATATTCATCAGTTACGTTATAGTCGTTGAACACGATTTATCAGTACTCGATTATTTATCAGACTTTATTTGTGTGTTATACGGAGTACCCTCGGTCTACGGTGTAGTAACTATGCCGTTTTCAGTCAGGGAAGGAATCAACATATTTCTCGATGGCAATGTACCGACAGAAAACCTTCGATTCCGTGAGGAGTCTCTAACCTTCAGGTTGGCCGAGACGGCAGAAGATGAACGGGAAGTCGAGAAACATCGGCTATATTCGTACCCGGAAATGTCAAAAACTCTAGGGGATTTTAAACTGGATGTCCATGCCGGATCATTTACAGACTCGGAAATTATTGTAATGCTTGGCGAGAATGGGACCGGTAAAACGACATTTATACGCCTCCTTGCTGGCATACTGAAACCGGATGGAGAGCAAGTAATCCCGGAATTGAATGTCAGCTATAAGCCTCAGAAAATTTCACCAAAATTCAAAGGAACTGTTCATCAATTGTTCTTAAAGAAAATCCGGGCATCCTTTTTACATCCACAGTTCCAGACAGATGTTATTAAACCGATGCAGATTGAAAGTATTCTCGATCAGGAGGTTTCGCACTTGTCTGGTGGTGAATTGCAGCGAGTGGCCATTGTGCTTGTATTAGGGCAGCCGGCAGACATTTATTTAATTGATGAACCTTCCGCGTATTTGGATTCAGAGCAGCGTATTGTTGCTGCCAAAGTAATTAAAAGGTGGAGATTGATTGACTTTGACGCGATTAATTCGTATCGATGATATTTACGGATTATTAACGAACGTTTCTTCTCCAGATTTATCCTCCACAGCAAAAAGACTGCCTTTGTCGTAGAACACGATTTTATTATGGCCACATATCTTGCTGATCGCGTGGTGGTCTATGAGGGACAGCCGTCTGTGCATGCAACGGCAAACACGTAAGTGAATACAAGAACTGTCCTGCTGCTGGAATTGTTGTCATTGCACGGTGTTTTTACATTTAATAATGCTTTAATGATGTCCATACCATAGTCCACAGTCTTTGTTGACGGGAATGAATATATTTTTATCGTCTCTTAAAATTACTTTCCGTCGGGATCCCACAAACTTCCGGCCGAGAATAAACAAGGCTGATTCTGTTAAGGATAAAGAGCAAAAATTGAGTAAGTGCAGTGGTATTCACGTCACCTTAATCGGTGCTCCATGACATTGCTTTATGTGTATGACATCTGCTCACTCATTCTCCCATTTGATGTTAGGCGGTAATTACTTCTTTTTGGAATCGGAAGCGTAGACAAACTGAACTTGGTGTTGAAAGTCTTTATACTTTTATTGCAAAGTATAAACTCGCACGCTAGACTATTTATATAAATGAATAAATGAAAGATCGAACCGTTAATAAACTATTCTTTCTGCCTGGTGTCTGATATTTTACCAGGGTCCTCTTAATCTACCAGTAGATGTTATTCTTACTTCGCAATTCTTGTAGCAATAATTATCTCAGAAAACTGTTATCAAACATCCGAAATGGAGAGTGTTGGCGCAACATTTAATGAGCTGACAAGTATACCCAATAACAGGGTATCGCTCACTCGAGTACAAAGCTCAGTTGTGTTGCTGTAAATACTAATTGCTGGATTAGGTGTTGACTGGGGCTCCAGTACCAGGTGTCAAAATTTGTAAACAAAGAGCAGTATTCTAAAGTTTTATTATTATTTTATTATTATAACTGTCTAATAAACAGAACATCTACGCGATATTTTGAGTGAAATGTTCAAACGCTTCCAAACAAATATTAATTTGTATTACGTTGTAACATAGCATTTTTACTGTGACACATTTTTAACTTTTCATTTGAATGAATTATGTGGGAGCAAACTCACCAAAATTTTACAGGAATGTAATCACAAACTATAGCTCAATTTTATGGCTGTGGCATTTGGAAAGTGTGGTCATTGTTGACACGTCGCGTACACGTGTCAGAATAACAGTACTCTTGTTCTCTATCCTTTGTCTCTCTGTCGTATGCCGCAACTTTTGTATATACAGCAGCATTTCAACGACAT